CGCGCCGGTGCCACCGCCGGCACAGGCAGGGGGGTCCCCATTTCCCTGCATGGCCCCAACTTGGGCGGGGGGAGGCGAGCGGCTGGGCAGCCAGGGTGCAGAGCACCCGAAGAGCGGCTGGGGCAAGGGAGCGGGTAGTTGCTCAGGGGGGCTCATCGCTGCGTGTAGATCCTCCCTGGTGCAGGATCCCCACGGCGGGGTGCTGGGCATCGTCCCCCCATGATGCGGCCATGCATCCCTGTGTCATCACCCCGGCAGAGCATCATGGGGGCTGGGCAGCTGCTCCGGCATCCCCCAACTCCCATTCCTCCTTCCCACAGAGTCCGACAGCAGCTACACGGTGAGCTGTGGGACCCCCGTCGTGCGGCAGGGTGGCCAGCAGAGACCCGCCAACAGCAGCCAGCAGTGCCTCGGTAAGGGGGCTCCCAGGGCCACCGCCGGCTGGGCCGCCCCGTGCCAGGGCTGGTGAGCACCCACCTTTTCTTTTAGAGACTGTCGCTGCGCCAATCAAGCAAAAGGCTTCCTTCAAGATCAAGGATGCCAAGTGCCACCTGCACCCGCGAGCCAAGGGCAAGCAGGATGAGGCCGGGAAGGCGGGGGCGCAAGGTGAGGTGTGATGGCGGGGGGGCAGCAGGGGTGCCCGTCCCCCCGGGATGGACGGGGTCCTGACTTGTCCCTCCATGCGCAGGCGGTTCGGCACCTTGCTCTGACTGCCAGGTCGCCTTCGTCAACCTCAAGTGCGACTCATCCAAGAAGGGGAAGGGCCGCCGGGCTCGCAACTCCTCCAACAAGGAGGTGACGCGCATCACACTGGAGTTTGAGGCGGAGATCAAGCCAGAGGAGATCACAGGTGGGCACAGTCCTGTCTCGGGTGCAGGCAGGGGGGGGGGGACCATGGGGACGGTGGTGGGGCCAGGGGAACGGTTGGTGGGGCCAGGGGGACGGTGGTGGGACCAGGGGGACAGTGCCATCCCCATGCAGCAAGGAGAGCTGAACTGGTCCTCATCCCACACCGGATTCGGATGTGCTGGGCAGTGCTTGCAGATGAGCTTTTGGGAGATGGTTTTAATCCTGCTGGGTTTCCGTCTCCATCCCTCCCTTCTCACTGCATCCCTGTTTTCCCCTGCACCCCCTGTTCCCCACTGCACATCCCCCCCCCCCTCCC